GAGGCCAGTAAATGTTGCAGCAACCAGTTATACATCCTCCGACGCCCTCCGGCGCCCGTTTTTCACACTTCCGGGCTAATGTTGAACACCTTGGGCCCACATTCTTGACCTTTGAACCACATATTTGTGATGTACGCACATGGGAGGACCCTAAAAGTTGGTGGCCGGCCAGTAATTCCACCTGACCCTTTTGAACCCCTCTTTCCGAGCTAATGTTGAACCCCTTGGACCCACTTTCTTGGACTTCTAACCATAGGGTTGTGTTGTACACAGATAGGAGGACACCATTAGTTGGTGGCCGGCCACTAAATCTGCTTGACCCTTTTGACCCCTAGCCGGCCGGCTAGGGGGGGTGGCCGGCCGGCCACCTGCAGCAAAAGCAAGGGGCCAGCCATGATCCTCTCAATGCACACTTTACAGCTGTGCAGCTGTTTTCCCCAGAAAAGATCCCAATTCGGGGGATATTTTGTGGGGGAAAGCTTGCCTCCTTTTCTCCCACCTTTACACCCTCCTTTTGGTCCTTATAACCAGCTGCCATTGTTTGTTATGAGGGTTAGAAAATTTTTTCTTCAAGCCTCAAGATCCATATCTCCCTCCATCCTTCTCATTTCCCTAAAATTCCTAAGTCCCTAATCACCATTTCTTCTACACCACCAAGCTCTACCACCACCACCTCATTTCCAGCAACAAGGAAGGCTTCTCAAAGGCTAAAGGTGCTGCAAATTGGTCCAAGAAGCAACAAAAGCTTTAGTCTTCAAGGGTGAGTAACACTTCTCCTCTTTAACCCTTTTTCTTGATCTATTTGTAAGCCCCACATGATTTGTTTTTCTTCATGGGTATAATTTAGGATCATCGTATGATATTACATTCCGTCCATCTCAACCTCACCTCAAATTTCTTATGTGGTGTACAAGTGGTCCTCCCTCTTAGTATGGTACATATGATGTGAGTTTGAATTAGTACATAGTTTTACATTTAAACATGTCAGTATCTTGTTAATCCGAAGTGAATACAATGTTTGGTTGATTGCAGGGAATACACACGGCTCATCAATGCCTTCTGGTATCTCCTCACAGATCTTTTCCAGGGTTGTTCGAGTACAATGTTGAAACTTTTGCAGTCCATCGCTGTCGCAAGCGTCACATACTCCTGCTGACAGCCATGTAGATTGACATCCCTAACAGTTTATTTTATCTTCATTTGTTGAGCAGATGTATTTTGTGTTGGACAGATTAATGATGTGGATAGATTTTGATAGTTTAATGTTGGCAAAATGTTGAATGATATGACATCCAATGGTGTTTGCTTTTATTTGGACAGATTTGGTTGTACTATTTGTGTTGCACAGGTTTATATAATTTTGTGACAAATGTGAATGATATGATCTATCCGATGGATAGTTTGCTTATTTTGACAGATTTGGACTGATTTTTTGGTTTTGGACTATTTTGGACAGGTTTAAATGATCTGGTTTTGATTGTTTGATTTTGGACTATTTTTTGGTTTGATGTTTTTTTGTGGTTTTGACAGATTTGGAGTGGTTATAATGTTCTGGTTTCCCGACAGATTTGGACAGGTTTATAATGATCTGCACAGATATTTTTGTTTTGGACAGTTTTTTTTTGGGGTTTTTTGACAGATTGGACAGCTTTATAATGATCTGCAACAGATTTTTTGCGTTTTGACAGATTTTTTGGTTTGGAACAATTTTTTTGGTTGTGACAGATTTTGGCTGTTTATAATGATCTGGGTTTGGACAGAGTTTGAACAAGGTTTATAATGATCTACACAAATTTTTGGTTTTTGGACTGATTTTTTGGACCGTTTTGGTTGTCATCATTTTGTGTTGCACAGGTTTAATCATGTTTGTGAGCAGATTTTGGAATGATGCTGGACAGATTTTGGACAGTTTTTTTTGTTTTGGACAGTTTTTTTTTTTTTTTTTTTGGACAAATTTGTTTTGCGACAGTGTTATTTTGTGTTGTCTGCGACAGATGTGTTCTGGACAGATTTGGATACATGTTTACTGTGGACCAATTCGGTTATGTTGTGGACATATGTTGGTGTGTTATTTGTGGACAGATTGTGGTGAAGAACAGTTGACCTGACCACCATAAGTAATAATAAACTTAAATGAAATCTGTCCAACAATTTATAAAAATAATGGCGGGGGGAGGAGGGGGGGGCGCGCGGGTGTCCACAACATTATAAAATAATGAAGTCCGTCAAGCATAGGTAATTTCAGTAACGTCATGACAGAAACAAATACCAAGCGCATCACATTCGTCAAAGTAGGTCAATTCCATTAAGCTTACATATCAACTTCCATAGTTTCAGGTAAACATTCATAGTTTTAAGTCTACAAACATTCAAACCCAAATACATCCACACAAAAAAAAAATAGCATGGTAAAAACCAACTCAAGACTATGGCTGTGAACATAAACAGTTTCATAGCTCTTGGTTTTGCTTGGCTGTGAACATAACAGTTTTCATAGCTTCTGTGTTTGCTTCAAACTCGTTCCAATTTATTTATAATTTGATTGAAGTTTGTCAAGCATCATAATCATAGGCCTTCTCTCATCTTCATTCTGCATATGGATAGCTCTTACTTTTGCCTTTGAAATTCTGATGCATTCCCGTCAAAGCCGGTTCCCCACCCAAAGAACTCGCACATCCTATTTGACACTTAAATACAACCCTCCTGGATTTTTCTCTGATTCTGATATGAACACTGCCAGCTTCTTTTTCCACAATTGCATCTCTGATTGTTGCAACATCCAGCATCAACGTTTGAACCCATGACATTGACATGTCCTGTAAGACATTTTCCACAATTACAATCAGTTCCATTAAACAACATTCAAACAAGCGGTAAAATAAAGCCTAATCATGATATAAAACCATTTGTCAATAAACATTGATCATTTCACGTTCATGTTAATCCTAGTATATACATAGTCATTTCATGTTCATCCGTATAATAGTTATGTTCACTCCACATTTCATATACATAGTTCATGTTCATTGTCATCCTTATCAATATACATAGTCATTCATTCTTAGATATATACCATTGGTTTTGTTTTATCCGCAGCTAGTCACGCCTCATTATAGGCTTAGGCATTGTTTAAAAGTTAATTTTATTTCTTGACCCTGATGAAGACAAAAACCATGTTTATGTACTTCTTACTGGGCTTCCTCACGTTTATTATGTGGAGTTAGAGTGGTGGAATGCTGCGCTCAGCAATCATTTTGGCAAGCAAAAGTAGGCTTTCTTTTATTTGGCTCGATCGAGAGGAAAAGGAATGAGCCATCATGCTTGCCAGGAGGTTGCATTTGATTGCAATGTGAGTCAAGTTTCTTTATATATTTACATGCGAATGAATTGTCTATAATTTACTCATCTATGCTTTGATCACCGAAATAGCCTCCCGAAATCATTATTATTTATAAAATGACAAGATCATGCTGCGACCAGACTGACAGAGCTCCTCCAGAAACATACAAATCTATGCTCTACCTCCTCTTATCTGTCAATGTTTTCTGAAAATTTAGACCTATACACTTTCTGGGACTCAAGGTCTAAAATGCCGGCCATAAACCCGCTGCCAATAAATTTAGTTCAATCCTGACTATTGGTTAACCCATTCTTGATGATTGTGCAGCAAGACCTAGGCCAACATGTGGAGTGCCATCATATGTATGTGTCAATGTATGTTGTCAAGTGTCAATTAGCTTAATACCACAAGATGCAAGCCTAAAGTCAATAAGTGATTATAATAGAACAGTGGTTGCAATCTGAATAAACCAGCCCCTCTGTCTCTCTCTCTTTTCAATGGGTGCCAAACAGTCTTCACTTGAGCTTGGGCATATTAAACAAACATGTAATAGCAATCTGAAGTAACTATCTTGGATGACTTGAAGTAGAAAGGGAAATCCACAAGAAATCTAACCATAACCACACTTGACTAATTAATTACAGACAATGGGCAGAATTCAGTTGGCACTATATTCATGTTTCAACATCCAAGTAAGAATCTGAGTTCTATTCTTCAAATTAAAGAACTATATAATTTACAGAACTTACACAGCACTATATCATTACAATTCAAAATTTGAGCAAAAATTCAACCACAACAATCAACATCAATTTCATCCAAGATATCAACGATTGAATATGTTAAGTGACCAATGATGATCCCATTGGATAGACACTTTCGTCCAATTAACTCTCCAAATTGAGAGAAGTCTTTCCTTGTTTAAAACTGCAGCCTCATCAATTACAGTAATGAATATGGTCATGGAATGTAATAAAAGCATCTATTGCCACAATCTAGAAATCATATATAGGCAACAAATCCATAAAGCAAAAGCCTCATTGCAAACAAAATCATATAAAAAAAAGTAATAAAAGACGAGGAGGAAGGCGAGAAAAATATCTCTGAAGACGAACGTTACCTCCGTCGCTTCGTTTCGCCGTCGTCGCCGTCATTTTCCCTTCCCACCGCTGCCTCTCCTCTCCTCGTCTGTTGCCTCTACTCTCAATCTTGATTTTGAAGCAACACCCCTAGGTCTAAACAGTTCTGAGCAACGTAAAAATCATTTAAAAAAAAAAAAAAAAAACTAATACAAAACGACGTTCGTTTTTTAGTATGGCAGAATGTTATCGCAGGAAGTCCGACTTCCTATATATTAAGCAAAAGGGCGTTTTTAACCCCTAAGTTTGTGGCGCTCCAATATGCTAATCCTAATGTCTAATTCTTATTTTTAAAAAAAAAAATAAATCTCAGCATTTATTACACTTCTCTAACCACAAGACTTTTTGACTTCTCTATAATTGCTTCATACCTTTTACCAAAACAAATAATTGTTATTAAAATAATTTAAAACAAATATAAATATCTTACTTATCATATCTATTTATTTATATTTATCTCTACCCTACAAGTTTTGGGAGTTTCCAATATTGAATCTAATTTTTAATTTTTTTGATTTTTTTTTGAAAAAAAAACTAGCAATTATTAAAATTCTTCCAAATCTTTAATTCTCCAACACCACACACCTCTTTTTAACTTTTACAATATTCTATTAGCAAACAGGAGTCCTTTTTGTTTTCTCCTTCTTGACTTCTTACTTCTTACACTTTCAACTTCAGTGACCATGTATGAAACAGTAAGTCTTACTTTTTTTCTCTTCTTGACTTTCCTTTTGTTTACTCTTTTATATGTAATTAGATAAACGCACAAAAATATTTTGTGATTTTTCTAGCGAATAAAAAAATATAATTTAACTTTTTAATATGATTGAATTAATTAAATATAAACTCACAAAAGAGAACAAAATATGATATATAATTAGTTGAATGATTTATTGTTTTTAATTGATTGTAGTTAGTTTAGTAGTTCTTTTTTTCATTTATTTATTTTATTATAGGAAAAATGTGAATGTTGATTATAGTTTGTCCATGGCTCTTTTTTTT